ACCCCCCCCCAACCCCCCCCCCCCCAAAAAAAAATGGAGAAGCTCAGAAGCGTATCAATTCCATCAACTGGTGTGGTTTATTCCTTTCCAAATCGAATTCTTCCGCGACATTATTTTATAATCTTCAGCAAAAATTTAAATAAAAATTATTAGCAGAAAGAATAAGAAAAAGAATAGGAGGACGGCAACAGAGAAAAGAGAACAAGGAACAAGAGAGGAAGAAGACGAGGAGGTGGAGATGGTGGGAGGGAAGTGGAAAAGGTGGTAGCGGCGGGTGAGTGAGAGTGCAGTTGATCTGTATGTTAACTGAGAGGAAGCAAAGGAGAAAGGAGATGAAACGACAACGACTACGCCGAAGGAAAGTAAATAAAGCAAAAGAAGGAAGTGATTACTTAGGCAATGAATGTCAACAGAAAGAAGAGATACATACAGATATTAATAACGCACACGTGGCAGCTCACAGACAAGCGTTGAGAGACTGACTGCCACCCCGCAAGCTGCAATGGTGAAACGCTCTGCTTCCTTGGCACCATATCTGATTGCATTCGCTTCTCCTTTCTCCTCCTCCGCTTCTTCCTTCCTCCTTCATCATCATCTTTCTTCTTCTTCCTCTTCCTCCTCTTCTCGTCGTCCTTCGTTTACTTGAGAATCTTTTTCCTCCTCTTCCTTCTTCTTCTTCTTCCAAACAAAAATAATTAAGCAATCCTTCCTTAAATGTAATCTTACTGTCGTGGCAGGCACACCCACAGAGACAGAGAGAGAGAGAGAGAGAGAGAGAGAGAGAGAGAGAGAGACACACACACACACACAGAGACACATTTACTTGAGAATCTTTTTCCTCCTCTTCCTTCTTCTTCTTCTTCTTCTTCTTCTTCTTCCAAACAAAAATAATTAAGCAATGTGAGAGAGAGAGAGAGAGAGAGAGAGAGAGGAGGAGGAGGAGGAGGGCGGGGTGTAGGCCGGCAAAGACTCGCCGGTCGGCTGCCTGCCGGCCTACTCCTCTAACGGAACGGAACGGAACGGAACGAAACTGAAAAGCCAGCTCATCAAGGGATTAACGGACACGCAGATGGGTTTGTTGATTGCTTGATTGGCTCATGGATAGATTGAGGTCGTTGATGAATTAAATCAATCAACTCTTCGGATTTCATTTGCCAATCAAATCAATCAACTGACTCTTCGACTAATTAGACGATGACACGTTCCGTTCCGTTCCGTTCCGTCCCGTTACTGCAAGTAGTTCCGTTACGTAAAGCAGCCATAGATCAGATTATCACTGTGTGACAGGATTTCATCACAGCCGTTGATTGATTTGATCGACACAAAAGAGCGATATTTTTCCAGAGGACGGAAGGGGGCGGCGGGGGCGTACTACCAAAATCCGTCTCAAAGAACACCGAAGAATAAAAGGTCGATATGATTCCATGTCTCCCTCCCCTCCCACCTCTCCCACCTCTCCCACCTCTCCCACCTCTCCCACCTCTCCCACCTCTCCCTCCTCTCCCTCCTCCTCCCCCTCCTCTCCCTCCTCCTCTCCCTTCTCAAGGGGGCGGCGGGGGCGTACTACCAAAATCCGTCTCAAAGAACACCGAAGAATAAAAGGTCGATATGATTCCACGTCTCCCTCCCCTCCCACCTCTCCCACCTCTCCCACCTCTCCCTCCTCTCCCTCGTCTCCCTCGTCTCCTTCCTCCTCGCCCTCCTCTCCCTCCTCTCCCTTCTCTCCCTCCTCCTTCCTCCCCTTCCCAATGCATCTATGCTAGAGAAAGAAAGCCGGATGTGCGGGCAGCAGGAAGGCAAGAGGGACATCCGGTTGGGACATAAAAAAAGATTTGGCCGGACACGAAAAACGGAGGGAGAAGGAGAAAGGGAGGGAGGAGGAGAAAGGGAGGGAGAAGAAGGAATGGAGGGAGAAGAGGAGAAAGAGAGAGGAAAGAAGAAAGAAGATACGAATGGCCGTGCTCCTCGATGTTAACGGCCGTGCGAAGCGCTACTGCACAGTATCCAGGAGAGGGAGAAGGAAAGGGAGGAGGAGAAGAGAGAGGAGGAGGAGGAGGAGGAGAGGGAAGGAGGGGGAGGAGAGGAGCAGCAGGAGGAGGAGGAGGAGAGGGAGAAGAGGAGTAGAATCGGGGGATGAGAAGAAGGTCGAGCGAGAGAGCAGAGGAAAAACGAGTGATCCGTCAACAACATAACATTCTGGCTGTCGACAGGAGGAGGAAGAAAAGGAAGACGAGGAGGAGAGGAGGGGGAGGAGCAGGAGGAGGAAGAATACGAGGATGAGGACAAAGAGAGAACGAGGTAAAAGAGGAGGAAGACGAGAAGGAAGAGGAGACAGAAGAGGAGGAAGAGTAGGAGGAAGAGGAGAGGGAGGAGATGGAGCAGCAGGAGGAGAAGGAGGAAGAGTAGGAGGAAGAGGGCGAAGAGAGAAGGAGGTAAAAGAGGAGGAGGAGGAGAAGGAAGAGGAGAAGCAAGAGGAGGAGGAAGCAGAGAAGGGAAAGGAGAAGGAGGAGGAGGAGGAAGAGGAGAAGGAAGAGGAAGCGGAAGAGAAGGAGGAAGATGAGGAGGAAGTGGGTGCAGCAGTACGCTAATGGGAAGGTAGGAGCGAGGAAGAGGAGGAGGAGGAGGAGAGCAGGAGGGAAGAGGAGAGGAGGGGGAGGAGAGTAGGAGGAAGAGGAGGAGGAGCAAAGGAGGGGAAGGGAGGGGAAGAGGAGGAGGAGAAGGAGAGGAGGAGATGAGGAGGAGGAGGAGGAGGATGAAGGAAGGGGGAGGATAGCGATGATGAGCAGGGAAGTGTGAGGGAGGAGACGAGCAGAAGAAGGATGATGACCGGGCAGGCGTGAGGGATGATAGGAGAAGGAGAAGGAGAATGTTGATGAGCAGGCAGGCGTGGAGGCATCTCGACCGTCCAAAGAAAAAGGCAAAATAGCCCAAATAAAATTTCGATAATGTGGATTGTCGATCGGGGACGAGGTCCCACTAGCAAAGAGCATTAGATTTATCGCGTGCATCGGGACGTGTTTGCGAATTAGGTGCATAAAACCCAGATTCATCAGCTTTACTGCATCCTTGCAGACAAACGCATCCAGATTCAGGCGCTTATGGTTCCACAAGAGAGCACCTTATTGGTATAGCCGGTCATTTTCCCAACAAGGTGCTCTCTCTTTGCGCACTGCGCGCCGAGCACATTTAAGTATATATATATCGTCACAAACAGAACTAAATATATATCGTCACATATATCGTCACAAACAGAACTGCCCGGTAAACCGTATATATATATATATACTCCTGATGAGTCGGTGAAACTCCGACGAAACAGTTTGTCACAGCCCCTCGTTTGTTGTCCTCTTCTCTCTATCTGCCTACGGTTTTACCGGGCAGTTCTGTTTGTGACGATATATATATATCGCTCAGCTCGAAGGGGTGGTCATATGCTTACTAGGGAAGGTTGCTCGTATAAAAAAAAAAAACAAAAAAAAAACGTCTATATGGCGACCATAGATCCACATCCGGTGGTTGTGGTCACTGCGCGCCGAGGACTTTCACGATTTCTATCCATGCATGCATCCCATCACCTAGTCCACATTCAATGGTTTCGTGCACAGCGCGCCGAATAGTCATTTGCTGAGTATCTGTCACCTTTAACATCTTATCTACACTCATCCAAACTCATCAATGTTGCGCGCCGAGTGGTTGCTGCATTCGGAGTGCTTGGCGCGCAATGACAAGCACCGATCGGCTCGCAATAACAAGACAAGCGCATTGGTAAATAGAATCATAAGAGGTGAAGGTATTGATTGGTTGGCGACATTTCAATAACACTGAGAGTCTACCACTTTACGTCTATCTATGGCGAACATTGACGCTGACAATGATCAAGATACTGTCAAAGCGAACGTAATGGGGAGACCGACGCTAAAAGATGATGACAAAAAGGAAAAGAATCGAAATGTTGGAACTGGCAGAAAGCAGAAAGCAGCAACTGCGAACAACAAGCTGGAAGGTCGCACTCGTAGTCACAACCGGTTCAACGGTAGACGGGATGCCCGAAGAGTGGGAGTAGCAAGCACAACAGGGTGGAGAGAGAGAGAGAGAGAGAGAGAGAGAGAGAGAGAGAGAGAGAGAGAGAGAGTCTGGTGTTAGATTCCGTGTGTTTGCTCCAGAGAGAGACAGAGAGAGAGTGTGTGTGTGTGTGTGTGTGTGTGCGTGTGTGTGTGTGTGTGTGTGTGCGTGTGT